ACAAATTTAGGTTCTGAATTTAAAAAACATAAATAAAAATAATATAACCTAGAAAATGTTTTACAAATACCAATGAGTATATAATTATACAAATGAGATCTTTCAGAGCACCGTGTTTGAGAAAAATATGTCAAAAAGTTAACATTTCAAAAAAGGTTGATATTTTGAGTTCTAGTAACACTTGCGATCAGTTTAATAACGTTTTTGTGTATAAATAAAACTACAAACAAAACTACTTACTACAATTTAATCATAATTAAATAACATTCACGTAAAACATCCTATTAAACGTAATTGAACATCATCTGTCAAAAACGTTTGACATTTGACGTATTAGCCCGTCCATTGTTTATTTAAATTACGTTTTTATTTTATAAAAATGTTCAAATTAAAAATGTAAAGTTTCTACGCGGATTTGAAATAATATCTCACTTTTCCGACGATCTGCTGATTAGCACGAATGTTTCAAGACTAAGACTGGCCAAATCGGTTCAGCCGTTTTCGAGTTTTGCCGAATCATTTTATCGAGAGCTACATTTTTATATACAAGAAGATATAAATCTCAATTGTTATGTAATTTGCCTTAAGGCAAAATGCCACATACACCTAGTCTATTTATATAGCTTACCCACAACAATGCATCTTGCATATCCAACAATCAATAAATTCAATAACAAGTATTTCATCTTATTAATTATATTAAATAACAATGTAATAAAATATAAATATTTTTGCAATAAATTATGTTTTTAAAAACTTGGAATCTGTGCAAAGCCACACGTTCAAGTATATATATAAAATCAGAATCATTTTATTTGCTTTTATTGTTTGCTAAAACGTCTTTCGATTGAGAGCACTTGAATAATTATTTGGAAAAGAAAAATGTGCAATTGAAATAGATATAAACTTAGATGTTATTGTATTAAATAAACAAATATCCTGGTATCGACGATCTAGACTCAAATACAAATTTTAAATTTTTATTGATACATTAAAAAATGGTTTATTTATTTACTTCCCGTAGAGTAAGTTATTGTAATCGTTCAAAAATCGAAATTGAAATTTTTTACATTTCTCGACGTTTTGAAGGTTTCTGAACAATTTGGTATACCTCAGAAAAAATGGATGTGTGTGTATGTATGTATGGATACAATTTTACGGTCACGTTTTCGGGCGCACGGATCAACCGATTTGAATGGTTCAAAAGACATTCGATTCCTATTGATAGGGAGATGTGCTAATTAGTTTTTGGTAAAGGCAGGTCCAGCAGTTACGGATATACGGAGCAAAGAGTGCAGAAAATACAAATCGAGTTTTTAAGAGAACGAAATATCGGATTTGAATGATCTAAAAAGCATTCAATTTGTAATGATTGGGAGAAGAGGTGATTAGTTTTTGGCAAAGACAGGTCCCGCCATTTTGAAGGTACAGACCTAAATGTGCAAAAATGGCAGTTTTTGAGTGAACTAAGCGTCCGATTTGAATGATTCTAAAAAACTTTCTGCTTGTATTGACAAAACAATTGCTTTTGGGATAAAAATTATTAAATCTTTTTTCATTTCCATGAAATATTTTTGTAATTTTGGATTAAAAATTCAAAAAATTACCCAGGCTAAGCACGTCTAAGCACCACTCTGGTACAAATGTTTACCCAAGTGCGTTTAGACTGTTTAAGTACTGGAGCACTTTTCCAATTTTGTGAGAAAACTATTGAAAAATGTGAAAATGCCGCCAGCTAAGCACAGTACAAGTAAAAATGTTGCATAGAATTATTTGGAAATGCGTTTAGACTGTGACTATACGGGAGCACTTTTTTCAATTTTGTGTAATTAGGCAACTATTTTTTTTTAATTGAATTCGAAATGAAATGACGATGTTAATGTTTCGGTGGAGATAAATTGATTTATGATTTTCTTTGATTTGCTCAGATTTAAAACAAGATAGAAAAAATAATGAAAGTTCAGTATTGTAATAATATATTTGAAAACGTTTAAAATTCTCGAATATTTCATTACGGTACGGAAGTTCCAGCAATTTGCCTTAAGGCACGATGCCATACACACTAGTTGGATTCTTTGCTTGGCGTATATCTAAATGAAAACTTTCCAGAAATTAGTACGAAGCGAGAGGAAAAACTGGTGGGTAAAATCTTAACATTGAGTATTTTTCAAAATTGCCTGTTTCATTTTTGATAAAATGCAATAAAACCAGAACATTGCAAGAAATATATAAAATCTAAAATTAAAGACGATTCAATTTATTATCAACAAGTTTCAAGTGAACTTCATACAATCCGTCATTTAGTTTTTCTGACAGTTTCAAAATTGATAAGTGACATTTCGCAACTAAAGTCCGTCCGGGATGTAGCCGCCGACTGACGTCATTTTAGGCTGAAAGGGTGACGGAAGGATTGGCTGACAAATGGCAGATTCGGAGATGAGTGACGCAGTGGCGTCGGAAAGATCCTTGGGGGGCAGCAGCACCACGACGGCGCTAAGATCGCAGGTAATAAGAGGAAATAATAGGAAATCAGCAATTGTTTCTTTACCGAAAGACAAGACGTGGCCCTTAAGCCAAAATGCCACTTACCAAGTTATTGTTTAACTTCCCGAAGGAGAAGTTTTCATCAAAAAATCCGATTCGCTAATTTTATGTTTTCTCAAAGTTTCAAGCCATTCTGAATCGAATGAGACCAAATTTAAGGAAATAGTATGTGTGTGTGTATGTGAACAGGTTTTTTTGCCGTAAATCCACGTTTTCTCAAAAACGACTGGAGCGATTTCAAAAATTTAAAAGCCATTCGATGTATCTCGATGAGGACAATTGTTTGTCAGTTTTGTGCGACGATCGGCCAAGCCGTTTCTTTATAAATAGCAGAAAAGTGAAAAATTTTCGTCCACGTTTTAGCCCGCAGTTCTGAATCGATTTTGAAAATTCAAAAACCGTTCGAAAGATATTGGTTGGGAATCGTGCTGATGAGTTTTGGTAGAGATCGGCCGGGCCGTTTTCTTGTAATAAAGTGTTGAAAAATTTTTTTTCGACGATTTTATTATTATTTTTTTGGCGATAGATAACATAGTCTTCTAGAACATACTAAAATATTACGATCCTACGACAACTCGTTTAGCTTTACAAATTCGTCAAAGTTTGCAAAAATTGGTATCGTTTTTTTGGTATTTGTCAAAATTAGACCTCTCATCGACGTTTTATCAATAACTCCTGAAACGATTTCAAAAATTTAAAAGCCATTCGATGTATCTCGATGAGGACAATTGTTTGTCAGTTTTGTGCGACGATCGGCCGAGCCGTTTCTTTGAAATTTGGAAAAAAGTGTTAAACTTTACGCCCACATTTGAGCTCATACTACAGAACCGATTTTAAGAAATCAAAACCTGTTCGAAAGATATTAGTTGGGAATGATATTGATTAGTTTTAGGTGAAAATCTACCGAACCGTTTTCTTGTAATTAACTGTTGAAAAAAAAAATTGAGCCGATTTTTATGAAACTTTTTTTGATGATATATATCATGGTCTTATACAACATATTAAAATATTACGGCCTTACGGACAAGTAATTTAATTTTAAAAATTCATCAATGTTTGAGAAAATGAGTAGTTTTTTTGACGTTTGTTAAAATTAAAATTAGACGATTTACTTGGTATAACGAAGGAGTACTTGGCTTAATGAACATACAAAACCATTAAAGTCCTACTGAAACTGGTTCAATTATAAAATTATTGATTTTTGAAAATTTGCTTTTACAAAATACTCCGAGTTAACGTGTTGTTCGTTTTCAATTATGTGTAATAAATCCACTCGGAATACTTTTAATCACACATAAATTAATTTATTTTGTATTGATTAAGTCGATTATTTACACATATCGGGAAGTTCATGTAACTTGCCTCAAGGCAAAATACCAATACCGACTAGTTTTTTAATATTTTTGTATAAATTTTATCTATTTCTATCTATTTCTAGTTATCAACTATAACAAGGCGTTCGCAAATGTCGGCGTCCCGTCGTTCGCAATTGTCGTCGTCCAGACAGCTATCGGGCTCCAGGCAGCTGTCCAGACAACTGTCCAGGCAGATGTCGAAAATGAAATATCTACCAGACGGGAGGCGGATGCCGCAGATTGACCAGAGTGGATACAGATACAACGATCATCTTAAACAGGTCGAAAAACAGATGAGTTCAACTTTAGTTATTTATTTATTTTTAAATATATAGCCCACAGATATCTTCCAAGAGGACTCAAAAATACAATTATTTTACATAATGAATAACAAAATATATACAAAATTACAATATATAGTTATTAACATAAAATGCTTAACATAAAATTACATAAAATGCAGAATGCAACAATATTATTTATAAACAGAATAAGATAAAATAATGAGATATTTGAAAAGAAAATAAAACGGTTAACTTGTGCAGATGGAGATTATTTGATTAGGTGAAGTGTTGTAAATATCTATTTCATTACTAATTAATTTATAGTTAGAGGACATATAAGTAGATTAGGCGAATTTAAGAGAGAATTAGATTTAGGAATAGGATAATTGAAAAATAATTGTGAACGCATAGATAGCCTTGGAACATTCAAGGATAGTTGATTAAGAATAAGAGAATAGTCTATTGAATTATTGCAAAGTTTATAAGAACATAATTGTACAGATAAATCGACGTGAGCAAGAAAAAGAATACCAAATTCTTTCAGTAAAGTGTTAAGGGGGTCTTCCTATGTGACGGCCTGTTTTTTAGGGATATTTTAGGATTTTTTTTTCTACTACCAGTAAATATTCAGAGCTTCAAGTTTTTTATCATTTATTAACACATATTTGGACAGTATAAATAATAAAATTTCAGCTAAAAATATTCAGTCAAACTAGAGTTACAGCGCTCTGAACACCCCCGCCTCGAAAAAAAGAGCTCCCACTTCCTCCACGATTCCGGCTGATCGGCTTATCTGAAAAAAAAAACGGCATTTTAATTTGTAGGCTTAAAAGCACGGAATGACCTATAATCAAATGAATATAAAAAAAATTAGATTTTTGATAGACATTTGAAATAAAAGTTGCAAATTAGGCGTTTTTCATTCCATGCGTTTAAATATATTGAGTGTGCCATGTAAATTTTAAGTAATTCGGTCCAGCCGTTTCTGAGATACAATGGAGGAAAGTTTGAAAAACACATTTTTCAGAAAAACGCGTTTAAAGTTTCTAACTGCCAACTCGGCGCTCCGAACCGCTCTTTCTTTTACCTGCTGTATCTTTAAAACGACTTCGAATTTTCTAAAATCGCTTTACTACCGTATTCTAGACTTGTTAAAGGAGCAATTTATGAAAAAAAAATCGATTTTTTCAACCCATCACATAGGAAGACCCTCTTAAGGGGTAAATTTTATATGTTTTATAATAAAGATATTTCAGTAATTTTCGCTGAACCTTCTCTATCGAATCAAAGTTATTGATTTGATGAGGATACCAAATGATCAAACCATATTCTAATTTTGAACATACATTAGAATAGTACATGCAAAGAAGTGCGTGCATTATTTGAATTGAATTCTTTATAATTTCTCAGTATGAAACCTACAGATTTATGTGCTCTATCAGTTATATGATCAGTGAAAAACAAACCAGAATCGAATAAAACTCCTAAGGATGATATTTTATTACATCTATCAATGCTGGTGTTAGAGATTTTATAATCAAAATGTATTGGAACGCGCTTATGTGAAAAACTGAGAATCTTGCACTTTGATATATTTAAATGTAATTTGTTAGAGACACACCAAGAGTGGAAAGAGTCAAGTTGAGATTGTAATAATAAGCAGTCATCAATAGAATTTATTTTGAGATATAGTTTGAGATCATCTGCAAATAATAAATGTGGACAGCTAATAATTTTAGATATGTCATTAATAAAAATAATAAATAGTAGTGGACCAAGAATGGATCCTTGAGGAACACCTGAACTGATATTTTCAATATTGCTCAAGAATCCATTAAGATAGACAAACTGTTTACGATTATGAAGATAACTCTTGAAAAAATAAATAAGTGAAGAATTAAGACCAATCTTAGATAATTTAGTAAAAAGAATGTTATGATCAATTTTGTCAAAAGCTTTACTGAAGTCAGTGTAAATAACATCAACTTGTCCATTAGTGTCAAGATTCTCAGCTATGTATTATTTAATACAAAAATAAAATTGTAATTGTAGAACGGTCAGACATGAATTCATGTTGATTAGTAGAAATTTAAGATTTAACAGAAGGAATTAATTCTCTATAAATATTTTTTTCAAATATCTCAGCAAAGTTTGATAATAGTAATATTTGATATATCACCTTGTTTAAAAGTTTGGTACTAGTCGAGCAATTGAAATTGAAACATTGAAAAGATTCTAGTAGATTAAGGAAAGCTTCAAAATTCTCAGTAGGTACATCAGGTAGAACGTAAACGTGTTATACGAAATTGGATTAAAATCAACAAACTTGTTCTTTGATCTTACTAATTATTACTCTTATTTTTCAGGTATTAAATGCAAGAAGCCGCATCGATAACAAACCACCTATTCATCACGACATGGGAAGAAACAAATTATCAAAAGTGAACTCTTGGAAGGAAAGAATGGACAAGGCTGATATCATTAGAGGCAACGAGAGGCTGATGAAGAAACTCAATCATGTCTACAGAAGCGAAGTGAGTTTAAATTTTTGCTGCACTTTTAATGCTGGGTTACATGTTACAAAATAAGCAAAAAAAAAAAGAGTGCATGTAAGGTTCACACGCGATTGAAGTAAAACTTATTTGCTACTGTACAAGATGGCATTTACTTAAGTAAAAATAAAAACATCATATAACGATTTTGAATAATGTTTATTAGTAATATGATAACACTCGTTATGCACACATTTATTAGTGTCGACCATTATACACATTTATATAATGATAAATTATAAATTATATATTTATAATAGCATTAAAAATGTGTATAATATTTAAAAACAATAATGTAATTAAAGTCATACTTCAAATATGACATGATCGGTTTGTCATTGTAATTAGCATTTAGGACTAGAACCTTTATTAGAGAAATGAAGTAATTGCTGATTAATAAATTCTATAATATTTGTTTACACAGTGGATTATGTTAAACAACGCCTAAACAAATATTGTTTTCGCAACTTCACTCATCATGTAATGATTGTGTTTGAAGAACTTCATGTAATTAAAATTAACATACATTCATTGATTGATAGTATTTTTTTTTACTTTTTTGCTGGCGATATAATCTCATTCTTTGAACAGCTGTAATATCTGTCTTGCCTACAAAATATTTTTTATTTTAATAACTTCAAAGATTTAAAGAAACTATGAATAATATAGAAACTAGTGGGGCGCATGGCATCTAGCCTTAAGGCAAATTGCTGGAACTTCCCGTATCAAAAATTATTATTTTTTTAAAAACGAATAACATTTTTGAAAAAAAATTACTTCGAAAAAATTAGATTTTTGAGAAACTTTAAATCGGACAAAAAATTACTTTTTCTGAAAAAAATTTTTTTTAAGAAAAAACATTTATTTTTGTTCAAATTTTTTCTTTATTTTGACATATTTTGGAAGATCTGAACTTTTTTTCAAAGCGATCGTACTGCTTTAACTGCATAGAATATAAAGCGCATAAGCGACGAAAATTTGTATCCGAAAACACACACACGCGCACACACACACACATACATACATACATCCATTTTTTCTAAGGTATGCCAAAATGTTCAGAAACCTCTAAAACGTATATATATATATAAAAAATTTCATTTTTGATTTTTTTGAGATTACTATAACTTGCCCTACGGGCTATAAGCTTAAGTTTAAGTTTAGTACACGGCACAAATGCTTAATTTGTTTTATTATTTTCAAGGAACAGGGTTAAATACTCTTCTTATTCAGGCATTTTTCATTAAATCAAGATTTGTACTACGATGTAACTTTAAAATGTTTATTTATCTATGCCGATTTCCTTGTTGATATCGGTACGCATATAACGTTGATGCCTGTACGCATACAATGACAGATCATTATTCACATACACGACGACTAATCACAATCGACCCGTATAGAAATGATATCATCGAGAGCGAATGACGAATCATTGGCACTCGACTCTTATCGTATCTTATCAGCCGTAACGCACTTCCGTTGCATTTGTACAGATTTACACCCTAGTCGCGCCTAAGGAATTTATACTTCAATAATCCTTTTCTTTTTCCCAGGCAAGTGTAGCAAAATTTTTCAAAAACGCGTCAACAGCCCCAACCAGAATGACCAACAAGAAATTCAAATTGGCAGACATCACAGAGCAGAATATGGCTCTCAGAAAACGAATCATGGAAAGAGTAAATTACTATTAAGTGAATTTTGTTACTGTTATTACATTTGAAAAATAATAGTCGTGTTGAATACAAAGGGGCCGGATCCGACGATCGAACCGAAAAACCTTAAGCAGTGGTGGAAAACGACTCTGACACGAATGCAGGCGGTTTCCAAATATCCTTTACATTTTGAACTGGAAAAGGAAATGAAAATTAATAGTAACAATTTTAGGTAAGAGGCGAATTGAACTAAATCAAGTTGTATGTATGGTTGGGTGCGATTATTTGTCAAATATTTTGAGTCTACTTCCTGAAAATTGTAGGATATTTAATACAAAAAACTAGTGGTGCATGGCATCGTGCCTTAAGGCAAATTGCTGGAACATCCCGTACCGTAATGAAATATTCGAGAAATTTTAAACGTTTTCAAATATAATATTACAAATACTGTAACCTACATTATTTTTGCTATCTTGTTATATCTGAGCAAATCAAATGTAAATCATGAATCAATTTATCTCCAGAACATTAACAATCGTCATTTCATTTCGAATTCAATTTCAAAAAAAAAATAGTTGCCTAATTTACACAAAATTGAAAAAGTGCTCCATATAGCAACAGTCTAAACGCACTTGGGTAAACATTTGTACCAGAGTGGCGCTTAGACTGTGCTTAGCCTGGGCAATTTTTTGAATATTTAATCCAAAATTACAAAAATATTTCATGGAAAATTAAAAAAGATGTAATAATTTTTTATCCTCAAAAGCAATTGTTTTGTTAATACAAGCAGAAAGTTTTTTAGATCATTCAAATCGAACGCTTAGTTCACTCAAAAACTGCCATTTTTTGCACATTTAGCTCTGTATCTTCGAAATGGCGGGACCTGTCTTTGCCAAAAACTAATCACCTCTTATCCCAATCATTACAAATTGAAGGTTTTTTGATCATTCAAATCCGATACTCCGTTTTCTCAAAAACTCTATTTGTATTTTTTGCACTCTTTGCTCCGTATCTCCGCAACGGCTGGACTTACCTTTGCCAAAAACTAATCAGCACATCTCTCTATCAATAGGAATCGAATGTTTTTTTAACCTTTCAAATCGGCGGATCCGTGCGCCCGAAAACGTGACCCAAACATTGTATTCATACATACATACACACACACACACTGAGGACTCCATCCATTTTTGCTGAGTTACCCCCAAATGTTCAGAAACCTTCAAAACGTCGAGAAATGCAAAAATTTTCAATTTCGATTTTTGGTTCATTACTATAACTTACCTTACGGGAAGTTAAATATATATTTTTTTACACATATATTATTTATAATCTAATTTACTTCCAGTCGTTGTTACTTCGATTTGGGCTTAGATAACGGCGTCAATCTGGGCAGGTTGGTTTTCGAGTTATACAATGAAATTTGCCCAAAAACATGTCAACATTTTATTTCTATATGTAAAGGAACCCACGAAAACGGACTGTGCTACGAAGGAACATTATTACACAGGTGAACTATAGTTTCTTTAAAATTAAATAAAAAATCACTGAGTGGAAAGGGTGATTGTTAGTTTTGATAATAATTTGTGATAAACATTGATTTTTATTGTTCTCGATTATCTTTCCTTACACCTAGTTTTATTTTCAGAATCGTTACCGGCAACTGCATACACGGTGGAATTACAACAACCACCTGCATCGGTACGAAAAAATCTCTAGTTTTGGATGCAGAAAACCATATTATAAACCATGATAGATTGGGTATAATAGAGATATGGTGATAATGATGCGTTAAAAATAATAATTTTTATATTATAATTAATTTTAGGAATTTTATCCATGGACGGTCGAGCTGAGTCCCAATATTTGATTACTTTGCGTGCCATGCCGGAGTACGACGGACGGCGAGTTGCTTTTGGAAGAGTTGTATGTGGAGTACGAGTATTGAAAGGTGAGAGATGGAAATTCACATAGACACACACACATGCTTATATATACATATTAGAGACGGGTAACTAGAGAAGACATTTGTGTCAAGTATTATGTTTCAAAGTTGTCGGAGTTGTCAGAGTTGTTAAGTGGATATAACTCCTCTCTGAAGCGGTGTCGAATCCTAACCGATCCGGCTTCGGATATGATAAGTCGAATCGCTCACAGACCAAAATTTTCATATTTTCATTTTTTTCGCAACAAATCCTTTTTTTGGCGCCTTGTATGCTGAATCACTTGCAAGTCAGAGTGCCGCTCTAGATATATTTATTTCCAATTACTAATTACTAATCGCAGGTGTCGAGAACGACTTCGGTACTCGAAAGGGTCGACCCAGTCAAAACGTCCGGGTCGTTCAGTGCGGTCAATTGTGCGGGTTGCCCTGCGCGGCCTGCCAGAGCGCGAAGCAAAGGGACGAGATTGAATTCGAACTGGACGACGATGAAAACGAACAACCATCGGGGACACAGTACGAAGATTATGGTGAGTTTGAAAACATATATGTTTATTTATTACTAGCTGACCCGGCAAACGTTGTTTTGCTAAGTAATGTATATTCTAAACAATTTCTAGAGAATCAAAAATATTAATACTTTAAGTGTATAATGATGTGCTGTTTGAATGCTATATACAATGAGGTACTATAAAACATTAAACCCCATTAGTTTGTCTATATTTTGTCAATACAATCAAACTGCAAGTTTTATACACTTTCTATAGAAAAAAATGGCATAATCCCATCCAAGTCTTTTTTGTTCTTTCGACTTATTGATTACGTTTCAAGTTTTTCAGATTCTTTTTGGATTCGGGATTTTGTGTATAATTGTAAATAATACTACTAAGCTTATACAAAAATTCAAATTTCTGCGAGGAGAGATAGAAAATGAGAAAGTTTTAGGTAACATTCGATTAATAAAAGTAAATTTAATAAGAATTATATATGTAGAGCAGGGCGACGCACAAAGGTCCAATTTGACTTTGAGCAAATATTAATTATATTATAAAAATCAAACCAATTATATCACAACAAATAACACATTTCAAACAAAAAATTATCTACGTTCAGTAAAACTGCCAGCTACTTCATCATTGTAGAAATGTGCTTTTTTATGTCTTTTAAAAATTTGTTATCTAGACCTTTTCACCCTATAGGCATGACAAATAGTTTCAATGTCTTATTTTAATTTTAAAGGTATTTTACAAAATAATTACATTTTTAACCAATGCTAAAAAACTACCAACGGAAGAAAATGCTTTTATTATGGATTTTCAAAGATTACCGTTTATCTCCCGATAGCAAAGTCATGAGAATCAAGGTTATACATCTTTTCCCCTCTACTTTCAAATATTGTTGTTAAACAAAGCTTAATTTTACTGGTTTCTGACACATCGCTGATGGACCTTTTTAACCCAGTACCTTCATATATTACTATCTATTCTTCGACAAATTCTGGGAAATTATAACTGGGAAAATGTTATTCGGCAAAATGTTACTTTGATCGATACCAAATTTAGGTTTTGAATTTAAATAACATAAATAAAAAATAATATAACCTAAAAAATGTTTTATAAATACCAATGAATATATAATTATACAAATGGGATCTTTCAGAGCACCTTGTTTGAGAAAAATATAATTTGCAAAAAAAAGAGTGCTACAACGCCAAAAACTGCATTTTCATTTTAACATTTCAAAAAAGTTAATATTTTGAGTTTCTAGTAACACTTGCGATCCGTTTAATAACGTTTTTGTGTATAAATAAAACTACAAGCAAAACTACTTACTTCAATTTAATCATTAATTAAATAATATTCACATAAAACATCCTGTTAAATATCATCTCTTTAAAACGTTTGACATTTGACGTATTAGCCACCGTCTATTGTTTTATTTAAATTACGCTTCTATAAAAATTTTCAAATTAAAAATGTAAAGTCTCTACGCGATTTTAAAATAATATCTCACCTTTCCGACAACCTACTGATTAGCACGAATTTTTTAAGATTAAGACTGGCCAAATCGGTTTATCCATTTTCGAGTTTTAGCGGATCATTTTATCGAGAGCTCCATTTTTATACATAAGATAAAATGATCTGATAGAGATAGATAGGATAGAATATAAATCAAATCGGCAATTTAAGGGGGTAGCCTGGTTCAAAAAAAAGAGTGCGCGTAAGGTTCACACGCGATTGAAGTAAAACTTATTTGCTACTATACAAGATGGCATTTAAGTAAAAATAAATCTAAGACGACTAATAACAATCGACACGTATAGAAATATCATCGAGAGCGAATGACGAGTCATTGGCACTCGACTCGGCCGTAACGCTCTTCCGTTGCATTTTTACCTATCGAAATATGGAAAAATTCAAAATTCGATTTTTTGAAAATTTCACACTAGGTGTGCCTCTTGAATGTGATTTGTTAATAAAGTTTCTAGCTATAAAATTGACTAAAAATCTCTACCCTTAACTATTTTCATTGAAAAGTATAACTTCTTTTGAGGAACTATTTTTTTTTTATTTAATCATATCTATTAATTATTTAATCATCTCTTTCCTCAGGACCAAGTTCAGATTTCGCTCGTGCCTATCGATCAACTTGTACGAACAATAGTAATTACGATTTAGGCAGATCGAGGCTGAGATCGGCTTGTCCGAGCCATTCAGGATCTTTGTGTCCAGCCTGTTTCTGCGGCACTGGTTCCTGCACATGTGGAGGAAAAAGTGAGTACTAAGCAAAAGGATGTACTAGAAAAACACCGACTTGCTAGTTTTGTGTTCATTGATTGTTTAAGACCAGATTTGGAAGAATTATGTAACGCCCCACAGCAACCCGGTTTACTTAAATAAATCATAAACTAGTGGGGTGTATGGCATCGTGCCTTAAGGCAAAATGCTGGTAGGTACTTCCCGTACCGTATTGAAATATTAGAGAAATTTTAAACGTTTTCAAATATATTATTACAAATACTGTAACTTTTATTATTTTTGCTATCTCGTTATATCCGAGCAAATCAAATGTAAATCATAAATCAATTTATCTCCAGAACATTGACAATCGTCATTTCATTTCGAATTCAATTTAAAAAAAAATAGTTGCCTTAATTTGCACAAAATTGCAAAAGTGCTCCCGTATAGTCACAGTCTAAACGCATTTGCAAATAATTCCGTGCGACATTTTCACTTATACTGTGCTTAGCTTGGCGGCATTTTCACATTTTTCAATAGTTTTCACAAAATTGGAAAAGTGCTCCAATTGGGTAAACATTTGTACCAGAGTGGCCCTTAGACTATGCTTAGCCTGGGTGATTTTTTGAATTTTTAATCCAAAATTACAAAAATATTTTATGGAAAATAAAAAAAAATGTAATTTTTATATCCTCAAAAGCAATTGTTTTGTCAATTCAAGCGCAAAGTTTTTTAGATCATTTATATCGGGCACTCTTTATATATTTTCTGCACTCTTTGCTCCGTATCTCCGTAACGGCTGGACCTGCCTTTGCCAAAAACTAATAAGCACATCTCCCTATCAATAGGAATCGAATGTTTTTTTCAACCATTCAAATCGGTTGATTGGACGAAAAAATGCGGAAGTTAATTAATGTATTGATTTTGTAAAGTAACAAAATAAAACATAATTGTAAAAAAAATAAAAACGGGGGTTACCACTATTTTGTCAACTATAACAATTTTAATTTTTTTTAATCGAATTTTCAATAGTATATTTAAAATAGTATTTTGAAGTGCCCATCATAGCGGATTTCAAAAATATTGATGTTTGTTTGTTTAACGAGCACTTCATTCAAAATTGTTAAATTTCAACGAAAAATGCGAATAGTAATTTGTTAATAATTGATGAACAAATTAACATATATAGTAGATTCGTTATGATTGGGCACTTGAAAATGTAATTTTAAATATACTGTAAAAAATTCTAATGTTTTTTTTGAGTTTTTAACAAGATTGAATTGAGTGAAAATGTAGATGTCAAAAAAAATTTTTTTTGCCAAAATTTTTATTCCCAATTTTTTTTTCCAAAATGTTTTCGCCAAAAGTTTTTTTCCAAAAAAAATTTTTCCTCAAAAATTTTTTACAAAAAATGTTTTTTACACAATTTTCTTCCCCAAAATTTTTCCAACATCAAAACATGCACATTTTTCACTCACTTCAATCTTGTTAAAAATCATGGACTATATCCATGGTTTTTCATTCAAATCAAACAAGTCGAAAAAAAAATTTCCTAAAATTTTTTTCCAAAAATTGTTTTCCCCAAAAAATTTTTCTCAATTTTTTCCCCAAAAAATTTTTTCTTAAAATTTTTTTCCCAATTTTTTTTTCCTAAATTGTTTTTCCTAAAATTTTAAATGCTTTGTTAGTATATTTAGGTAGCCTATATATATAATCATTTTATAAGTCCTCGAATCCGTTTCCAGATACATGTTGTCATTTTGCTTTATAATATTTTTTGTTAATATATTTGAGATAATGTACAAGTAAAAAAAAAAAGTTTTAGATATGAAATATTTTTCCTCATATTTTAAAAGATTCAAAGTACATTTTAAACCCAGAAATGTGTTTTCCAAAAAATCTATAGTGGTGTGTGTAACCCCTTAATTTTAGCTAAAATTTTAAAGCTCACATATATACTTCAAATGCATAATTTTTACTTTGCAATTTAGTTTATATAATTCTTTGAAATGTTATATAATTCTTTGAAAGTTCTTTATCTCTGATTGATCAAGTTTTATTTATTACTTTTCATGTAAACATATATAAACGTCATCGTCCAATTTATAAGCCCATATATTTTGTCTATAACGATTAGTGAAAATTACTGTATTTATAATAATCTATTTGAAAACATTTAATATTCCATGATAATGGAATATCTCATTATGGCGCTGGAAGTTCCAGCAATTTGCTTTAAGGAACCAAAAATATAGTAGTATAATTATATACCTACAATTTGATAAAAATTTTAATAAAAATATCAATTGTAGGCTCTCATCACGACGGACTGGAAAATACTAAAAGCAGTCGTAGTATTTTACGAAGAAAACTCAGCGGCCTTAAGGGTAGAAAATTTCTTAAGAAGGTTATAAATGAAGACGCAGACGATTAATATTATTCAACTAATAATTTCATTATTAGTATAAAACTCGTTCGATGGTATGCAATATGCATGTATTTGTCTATGATATTAATAGATATAATTATAATAAAATTTGTAATATAACTAGTACTAATAATTACATTACATATTAACTTCCCGTAGGATAGTTATAGTAATGGGCCGAAAATCGAAAATGAAAATTTTTGCATTTCTCGACGTTTTGAAGGTTTCTGAACATTTTGGCATACCTCAGAAAAAATTGATGTGTGTGTGTGTTTTGTATGTCAGCATAAACCCACATACACCTCCCGAAAAATCGAAATCTTTGGTTGCAAAATCAAAATTTTACTAATGAAATGAAATTTTTTTTTCGCAACTTTCAAAATGTTTTGACCGATTCTGATAGTTTTCAAGGCGCTGATACCGAATGTGGAATCAGTTTTTGGAAAAAAAAATTCTTCTGCCCTTGGTACCAAATTGAAGTTTGAAAAATTGCCAACTTTGAAGATGATTTTAACTAT